GCCACCCTGGGTCGTCCATCGCTTGGTTGCTTTGTGGGGTCGAGGGTCACGACCCCGATCTTCGGGGTCAGGGCGCTCTGCCGGTCTGGATGGCCTTTTTGTTGAGCCCCTTGTCATGGATCCCCATCCCGTAGTAGGTGGGATCGTACAAGCGTCTAGTCAGTCCGTATTTAGATGGTAAGTGTTATACCCGTTGCCTCCGTGGTGTGGTGTTATCTCATCGGTGCGGCATGGCATAGGGTCGGTCTCTGACCAGGCCGAGGTGACTATTATTCCCTCGGTCCTTGCGGGTCAGTGCAACATGCTTGCTCTCGTCAGAGCAGGCGCGCCTAGCTGCGCTCGACCTCCCCCCATCCCTTTCGGGGGTCGTGACGGAGAAAGGTCGTGCATCTTTCGAGTGTCGTGTACTAAGACCGGTGGAAGAGGTCGAGGATGACCCCGGCCTTGGTGGTTGGCCCGCTCGTTCTCGGCTTTCGCTGGGCCTCGGTCGTTCGGGCCTTCGTTAGCTACTGTATTGCCGGCCACGCGGCCTGCTAACTAATCGGTGCCTTGGAACATCCCGGAGTTATAACCCCGATAGAGAGGTTCACGGCCGATTAAAGGATCCAACATTCAATCGTCAAAAAATACATTTACTACCTCTCTTTACCCTCTTTTCCTATCTATCTCTTCTCATTCTTTGTTCTTTGTCGGCGCTGCATGGACGATGGATCGACGACGACAAAGCTCTAGAGCAGCTAGGCCGACTAGAGCAGTCCATAGCCGCCGCACGCCCCGACGGGGTCTCTCCCGAGCGTGTAGGGTTTCAGGTCTCAAGAGACTTCGCCGACGTGTCTTGCGTATCGCGCTCTCAGCGAGGCTCCTCCAGTGACGTGTCTTATGTATCACGCTCATCGCTGGAGGCATCATGACCTAGCCTCCAGACACGCTTGTGTGGCATCCCATTCGTCATCCCCAATTCGTCAGTGTACACATTTGCAATCTATTTAAGTTCAGGCGTCGTCGATAAATAAAAATAGGCTATGTCCGTTTCCAATATAGCATTAATCATAACCTTGGATTTTGCTTTAATTTAAATTGATAAATAAAAATAGGCTATGTCCAATTAAATCAAACAATTTACACATATTTTAGTTTTACTTAGAAAATGTTCTAAAGTGGAATTCCTGGCTAGAAAATCGTCTTTGATAAATAAATAAATCAATCAAAGAATAATAAAAATGGAAAAGGAAATTCTAAGAGGGCGACTCTGTTTCTTGCCGTTCTAGGCCTCACCTGGGCCGCCGCCGTTCGCATCCTGCGCAGTGGGCCGCGGGCGTCTCCTCCTCGAGATCTCCTTCCCACGCCAATGGCTACCCGCCGCCGTTCCTCCCCCATCCTCTCCCCTCTGCCCTCCGCCACCACGGCCGCCAGCTGCAGCGGGACAGTTTTAGACGACCCTTCCCGCCTTCCAAGGCCACCCGCCCCTCGTTCCAGGCAGCGGAGCCCTTTGCCGCCACCTTGTCCTCTAATCCGCTCCCCTCCGACTCCGAGGCAAAGTTATATATCCTGCTTTCGCCGTGCCGCCACAGTTCTCGTAGCCATTTGTATTTTTGGCCATGAATATGAAGAAATAGCCCTTGTTTGAATCAATCGAATCAAGGAGCATAATCTGTCTACTGATAGATTGGCACTAAACTCAATGTTGCTGGTGAGATTTTGGGTTTGCTGTTACCTGTTTGCCGTATATTTCAGTGTGTACTGGCATTTTCCATGGCAAATAGGATTGCAAATGCTTGGTGCCCCCTCCCTTTTCTTCCTTCTGAATTTTCTTCTCTCTTTCTCTTGGAATACGCTTGATTTATTAGAAGAAGGATATTTGCTCATTCAAATATTTAAAAGCATCTAGTGACAAAGGTGCACCATGAAAACTGCATTTCTGATTTTCTGGATAATACCAGTCTCTAGATTTATCACATACATACAACATATGTAATGATTTTTTGATGTCCAATGGTCACGACGCCATGCATTTATAGGCATCGATGTTTGTTATACTGGAGCCTCAGCCTGTCAAAAGGCGTAGCATTGTCTCCTTTTCTGTTGCACAGAATGTTTCACATAGCGAGGTTCAAGCATATGCATATTACTAGATGCATAATTCATGCAAGTTATTTGCATGAAAACATGAATGCCTGAATACCATCATTCGAATGCTTTTTATAGGCATGTATGTCTAATTATCTATTGCATTCTCTTGCTGCATACTGGAACTTATTTATCAAGCTGGACGTTACAGAAGTGAACTGATTAAGTAGGATGATGATGTAGGAGGCGTGCGAATATGCACTACTCTATCATACAATTATGTCACCTACCTAGCCTTAGAGTTCTCTGGAGGGTTAATCGCAGTGCATTGTATCATATACATTAAAGTGCCATGTAGATTTTTTGATGGCATGGCACATAATTAAAGAATTGAGAGAAGAAAGCTATATCATCATGGTTATACAATTGGGCTCGATATCCAGGACTAACAATTGTGCTCACATTTTTTTGTCCACTTTTATAGACACAATGGGACAATTAATTATTTTGAGTGTCCTAGGAAACAACAATATTATACAGTGCTCTGTAGGAGTTGTTTCTACACATCTTTTTAATGATATCCTAGTGACATGGCCGTTGTGGTCTCTTGGATTTGGATATAACAGTGCACTAGGAATAGCCTAACTGACTAATTTAATGCTACTGTATTCTTTCTGTGAATTTAATGTTTAACCAAATATAGGCATAGTGCAATTTCTGGGAAGGTTGACTACTGATGTGAACATTGTATGTTGAGAAATGTCTGCGACAGCTTGCAGGCTAAAGTTGGTCTGATAAATTATTTGTGATGAATTTGTGTCATAACTGTTTCAGACTGTCCAATCAAGCCCTCAACTCCACTTTTATTGATTTGATCCACTTATTATTCAATTTTGTGTAATCAAGCCCTTTGATTCTGTTTTTTTTTTCTAGAAATTTTTGTCTTAAATGACAACACAATGACCTCCAACTCCAATGTGTAGCTTTTTTCTAGAAATTTGTTTCTTAAACAAAGTGTTATCATTAGACCTGTATTTGAAAGGACCTTCTACTAATGTAAGGTGATTGATATTCTTACACCATAATTTAACTGGTATAAGGAGCAATTGCTGCAATTTTTTTTCAATATACAGTTAGCACATAATGTTTTTGGGTGTTGTTGGGGGCCTTTATGCAACAATTAAGAGTGTTTGTTGTAGTGGAAAAAGTATATTTCGCATGGAAGAATTCTGTAGTAATCAAGGCTTGAGAATGAATTGTGGTTTAATGGTGCTGCATCAGCATCTTGTTTTCATTTTTCAATGGAAAGCTAGTGTGACCAAAGAGTATATATGTTCTCAGTATGAACCTCTAGCAGCAGTGAGAAGAATATGTTCCAGAATCATTATTTGAAATTGTGCACGAAATTGTTCTAGTGACTAGCATCCTTATTTTTATATACTTCTTGACACATCCAAAGCCAAGTATGGCTGCGTACCATTTTATTAAACTAGAAAAGAGGGTATAAGAACCCAACCAAAACAAAAACCACACACAAGCTTTCAGGTTACATTCATTCCTTTGAGATACAAAATAACACGACCATGACCTAGAACACCTAAACAACTCCGTGCATTTCATTAAGGGAAGGGAAGATTTGGGTGAAGGTTGCGTCAAGGTGATCCTCTGTTTCCGATGACCTTGACGCAGCCCTTGTGACAAGGATGTTCTAATATCAATTCTCCATTCTTGAAAGCTTGGTTTGTTTTTCCCTCTTGAACATGCAGTAGAGCTGTGTGTCATTTCATCAAGGGAAGGGAAGAACTGGGTCCACGGCATACCCAAACTCAACACTCACACCACCATTGTTCTAGAACAGGAATGCCAGAGTCTAAATGGAGAAAGGAACTACCAGGCTGCCACATGAACACAATGGCAAAATACTGCACTTCCATCAGGACCTGAAGGTGTTTGGCACCAGCAGCACACCACACCATGCATTCCTCAGAAACTAATCTTAGCACAATTGCAAGCACCTCCCTGTTAAACAGACAGTGGTGCTTCCAAATCTCCCAAGCTACCAGAATCATCATTAGAAACTAAAGCTTGATTTGTTATACTGCCAAATTCCTCAAGAGAACTTATAAACTTAGGACACTAGTGTTTGAACTTCTAAGGTTGTGAGAGTGGATCAATATTTTACTATAATCATTCGAAGTGGAAAAATATAATCCTTGTTCCTAAAATTTCCTTTCTGTTACTGGGTGAAATATTTGGCTTTATTCCCTTTATTTTAGCAGATAAATGCATCAGGCTGCAATCCTACATGGTGGAAACAAGTGAATACAAACATGAAAAGGACATATAACTTCCAAACTAACTTCGGTTTTTTCTAAATGAAAAAAGCAAACATAGAACTTATCCCATTTTATGCTTAAAATATGCTTGTGTTTCATTTCCCATAGGGAGTTGAAGGCTTAATAAGCTCTTGATCTCAAAATTCATTGTGCATGTATGTCACGGATCTGAGGATTGATGGTAAGATGCTCATCTTACTGCCCCTTGGGCTCTTCCATAGCCATGTGAGGAGGCCAATGGATAATGATTGCAGTAGATCTCACTGGCCACTGCCTTAAGAACTAACAATTATGGATAGAATCATCAAGTCATAACCTAAGTAACCAATAGATGATATACCACATACAAGTAACTAATTTGTTCTTGGAAAATAATTTATTTTAAGGAAACAGGTATTCAAGTTCGGAAGATGAAGCCTTCCTAATATTTACTAGAGTCTGTTATGGCCGCAGACAGTACTGCTGCTCTCTTTACAGTGCACATGGACAACACTACAGTATCGGCGGACGTAACTTTCAGTAGATAGCTATATCTAGTTTCCCACACCATTTTGTTGGTTCATACATATACTAATATGACAATATGCAGGAGTGATGCTATGGAAGTGTACTGACAAATGAAGTAGGATCAGGAGGGCTCGGGACTGCAGCTGCTTCATCAAGCATTTGTGTCACCTTCAGCATTGTAGGTCTCATAGTTGGGTCCTCCTGAAGACACCACAATGCCACTGCAACAAACCTTTCCACGTTCTTCAAGTCAGAAATTGCTTCGTTATCACCCTCCACCAGAAAATCAATTCTGCCACACCTATAACAGTCATTTGCCCAGTCAGTCAGTATTTTTTGATCCTCCTCTGCAGCCTCCAATTCGACATTCCGCCGACAACAGACAAGCTCCAACAGGATGACCCCAAAGCTGTAAACATCCACCTTGGCAGTGATACCAATGTTTTTAAACCACTCAGGGGCAACATATCCTCGGGTACCCCGAATACCTGTATTTGTTTGTGTCTGGTTGGTTCGGAGCAGTTTGGCTAAGCCGAAGTCTGAGATCTTTGCTGTGAAGTCGCCATCGAGAAGGATGTTCTGGGGCTTTATGTCACAATGGATAATCTGTGTGCTGCATTCCTCATGTAAGTATAGCAGCCCCCTTGCTACCCCGAGAGCAAGCTGAGCTCGAATATTCCACTGAAGCTTGGTATCACCAAATAAGAATGTGTTGAGTGATCCATTGGTCATGAATTCATACACTAATAGTCTTTCTTTTCCTTCATTGCAGAATCCTAGCAACCTGACCAAGTTCTTGTGGTGCGTCCGACCAATAGTTTGGACTTCACTTGTGAACTCCTTCTCTGTTTCATGCTCAAGCTTGTCAATTTTTTTGACAGCAATGTGGGTACTGAGATCATCTTGTAGCTGGCCCTTGTACACAATACCAGAGGCACCAGTGCCAATCACTTTCTGGAATCCACTTGTTGCCTTCTCAAGCTCAGCATAAGTGAAGGCTTTCAAGGGCAATCCTATATTGTTCGACTGCATAGACGGGACTTCCTTTATGGTGATAGTACAGTAAGTACCAAAGAGTATAATAGAAATCAGCAGAATGTTCACCAAGACAGAGCTTCCCAAAAACAATGAACTTCCAATGATCCAATTCTTCTTGTCTTTCTTCCATTTGTTGGAAGCAACAATCTCAGACTGTGTACCGTTGTCCTTTCGTACCTTGATGTAGACTGTCCTCTGCACATCATCCCCCATATTGCCGTTTGACAAAGGCATCTTCTTCTTCCAACATGTATTGTCTTCAACATGAAACACAGCAAGGGCACAGAAACAATCTGTCAGACAGAGTTTCTGACACTGATCCTTAGTTATGGGGCTATACTGCTCATAGTCAGAGAATGGCCAATCAACACGGCTCATCGGTGTCAACTTAAACTGCATCATGACCGCTGCTTCATCCAAGTCGCAACTTTGTGGCTCGAAGTCTGGTTTGCAGCCTTTATACTTCCTCTCGTCATCAATAAATGAGTACTGCTCTGGGCACACGCAGGTACTCTGGTTGTTTGCACCGTTCCATATGCAATAACTGTTAAAACCGCAAATACCGCTTCCAACTTTTGTCGGCTGTGCGGTCTGTGCCTCACAGATATTTGGGGGCTTGAAATCTACTACTGACCATGTCTGATTACTCTGGTTGCTGGTCTTCTTTGGGTACATATATTGTCGGAAAACGCCATCTGGGTCAAGTGTGGCACGAAGGTAGTAGTTTGCTATGGAGCTGATCACCCAAGATGTGATTTCACTTTGGTTGCCGATATATATCACGCCAGTCGCATTGAATACCAGATTTGTGGTGTTGACATCCATGAACCAATATGGATCATATTTGTTACCGGAGGGCACAGCAACAGTATAAAGAGACACACCAGTACTTTTCAGGTCAAGGAAGAACCGGCCATTGGAGTAGTCTGTGGGGATGATCCGACTGCGGAGGCTCATTCCAGAGGTGAGCACCTGAGTGGGCAGGATGGTATCTGTAGGGTTTTTGAAGCTCTCCCATTTGGTAGAGCCATCTGAAGCAACAAGTACAAAGTTTCCAGAATCGAGCATGGCAGCATAGGATGCACCCACAATTTGGGGATTCCATACCTCTGTGCCGGTGGAGTCCTGGAGCGAGAGCGCCCCATTGGAGTTGAGCTGGAGGCGTGAACCGGATGAAACTTGCACCGGTGTTGGATCCAGATCAGTGGTCTTGGCATACCAAGCCACTGTCTGGTCGCCGATCTTGTTGAACCAGATGGCGAGCAGGTAGAAAGAGGTGTTACCCTCGTTGGGCCAGAAGCCGAACGCGAAGTCGCCCGATGGAGAGAGCCAAGAGGTGCTAGGCCCTTGGGTCGTCAAGGAGGAGTTCAAGGTGATGTTCTGCTGAGCTTGAAGAGGAGTAGAGGACAGCAGCAGGAGCAAGGACAAGAGAAGGAGAGCTGCCATCGGTTCTTTTGGTTTGGCTCTTAGTTCCTGCCTCTGATGGCCAACATATGCATCTTTTGGTTCTAGGACTCTTGGTTGACTTGGCCTGACAGTGGTTGGGTCATTGGAACCTTCATAACATCAGCAGCTTTGAACTGGTCAATTTCGACAATTGGCTACTCCACGCGCGTGGGTCCTTGTCTTGTCTGTGACTATTCCGTGTTGTTTGTAGATAATTGGTTGATGTGATTGGTTATGGAAATTTGCAAGTGTTTGAAGGTGCTCCACTTCTAGCAGTCAAATTTTAGGCTGTTTTTTCCTGTGGTTAAATTTACGGCTGCATGGAGGCAGGTGCATAATGACTACCTGTCCAAATTCCAACCTCTACACCGGATGCTTCCAGATATGCTTTTTCAGAAGTATGGTCATGGTTAGTTCTTAAAGTGAGGGTCATGCTTGGTGACTGATTTTCAATAGCGATCAGATTGGAACGAAGTTGGAATTATATAGGAGAAAAAATTGGTTTACTTGAGGCCAATTTCCTTGGGTGCATTATTTTCTGAATTTTCTCTACAACATATACTCTCTTAAAGAAGTACGTATTTTTCAAGGTTGACAAATTTTCGTTGTCGATTTTCATGTGTTTTGTTCACAATTGTTTTTTGAGTGTATAGGTTCATATTATTTGTGTCGCATATTGACTGGGACGTTCATTCTTTATGTTCTCGACTGGTCCAACTGACCGGCCCATAACCATAAGGATTACCGCACCGCCATCTGACAGGAACGTGCCACCAGCTTTGCCGCGTTGGAGGGTCAACACGGGCACTAGTTCTTCTGTAATCAGTGTCTGAATGAAGGCTACCGCCTACTATCTTATTAATCCAAGGCTATGCAACTAATTTTTTTTTTAATTTTTTTGTTGTTGTAAGAGCAACTGAGTTTAGATCGGTTGTGGATGTTGGTGTATGTCAAGGCACTAAAATTTTAGTCCTTTTCGATGCGATTTGGGCATATGTTTTTTTTGTTTTGTTTTGTTTTTTTTGCTTCACATAAGTATAAAACGTAGCTTCTTCTACATGAGAGAGCCAAGAGGTGCTAGGCCCTATGGTGATGTTCTGTTGAGCTTGAATAGGAGTTGAGTACAGCAGCAGGAGCAAGGTCAGGAGAAGGAGAGCTGCCATGGGTGGGTTTCTTTTGGTCTGTCTCTCAGTTCCTGCATGTCTGATGAGCAACTGTCGCGTCCGATTTTAAAGATAAAATGGGATGCATAATCTTATGTGCGTCCAGAGATCAGGTCACACACATATGCCGATAAATTACAATTGTATCAAAAGACAATGCTTTACTATGTAACGAAAATATACTCATATTTAATACTTACATCAGAGTATCACGGAACGGTAGCTAATCTTCAGGCTCCATCTTTCACAGCGACGGCTAACTGGGGGTATCATATGCCTAGCACTTCTATCAGTCTTCTGGTAACTCATTCGTAACTCCATCAATCTTCGGAGCAACTTTTCTAAAGTCTGGGGGTGTGAGAAAATAGTAAGGGTGAGCGCATATCGTACTCAACAAGTGTAACACGGGGTTCATGAGGCTCAAAAGCTTGACACATGTTTAACAGCATTTAGCTTTTAGTTGTCACAATTTTAGCATATGAATAGCTTCAAGTTGTCATAATTCCATAGTAAACACATGATCAGTGTAAACATGATTAATGAATAGCATAAACAAATAATTAATAGTGATCTTCTATTCCATAAGGGTCTAAGGCCGCTCGTGACCGTGAGCACGGCTGATATACCAGTTTACACTCTGTAGAGGTTGTACACTTTTCACTGTGAGTCGTGATACCCATATACCCGAGTTTATAACTCTCAAAACACTTCTAAGGTGAGCAGGCAAGGTTCACTATGAAGCCTTTTAAAGGTCCGTCTAACAAGTTAGGGCCATTAGATTCACTCGGCAAGCAGATGTAGAGCCTCCCTTCCCGATGGCACAATGACGCGCAGCCTATACACAAGGGGACAGAGGCCGCACTATACTCGATTCGTCAAGCCATTCTTACGCCAATAAAGGTAACCACTAACAAGCTACAAAAAAAGTCCTTATACGGAGCTAAAACTAGAGCCATGTTGCCCTCACAGCTCTACTGTAAGTCCCGGATGTTCGCTTATAGATAAGTCCTTAGGGAGAGAAATCTGAAACATTTATAAAGTAGCTAAACACTCCAGCCCTCTTTTTTCAAGTTGCTAAAAAGTCATGTTTTAATGTTTATTGCATATACCATTAATCAAGTTACAAGATCATGGTTTAGTTGAGCACTAGCAAAGTTACCCAATTCATATCCCATATGAGTCAAGGCATAAGTACAATTCTAGAAAATCATTATCAAGGTGACACATGCAAATATGGATTGATTATTAAAGTGAATAGGTAACAAGGATGATCCCATGCTATACTTGCCTTTTACACTTGCTTTCCACTCAAGGCAACTGCTCATAGAAATTCTTCGGTCCTCTCTTTTGTAGCTTCCGGCCTCCCGCGCTTACGGACAACTCTTCTTCTACTCACAGATCGTAGCAACTAAGCATACCAATAAACATGCAAATAAATTGAGACAACTAAGAGCAGTACACCACACGAGTCAAAACAACGTACTAAAGAGAGCTCGTTACGACGGTCGAGAGATCACAAGAAACGTAACGAAACTATCATAAAGAAGAAACGACTGCAGAACAGTTTTATATATTACAAAAGAAACATCTACGAGCTTGATTCATGTTAATTAAAAAAAACTATATAAGTAGTATCAACTCAGGTTACACAGAACATATTCAGTTTCAAAAGTCAGAGTTAAAACTAATTATATTTTATTTATAAAAATATCTCATATCATTTAAGTCATTTAAACATTTAATTGGAAAGATTAAAGGACATGTGACTAAAATTAAACAAAAGCATCATGTTTTAAAGTTGAACTAAGCATGTTATAAATTAAAAAGGTATTAATGTCGATATTAATCATATTGATTGTGATTTATGAAAGACCGATGTATTCACCTAAGTGGCTTTTAATTATAAACCCAGTTGCATAACCATTAAACAAATTAACATTTAACTTATAAAATTCTGAGATACGAGACATATTAAACGCCACTGCTAATACGTAGCATTGGTCGGCACAGACACAACGCACAAGTAACAACTAGAACAGAGCTACATTTAAAAGAAAAGACTACCGGGAGTTTTATATTACCAACGAAAAAAAGCCTACATGCTTGATTTATTTTAATTGAGCAAAATCATGTGAAGCATATTAATTCAGATTAGATAAAATATATTTTAATTCTAAAAGCCAGGTTAGACTAATCATATTTGATTCATAAACATGCATGTATCATTTAATCTAATTAAACTTTAAATTTACAAAAAGAAAAGTGCATGTGAAAACACTAAACGAGTTTAAACTAAGTATAATTAAAACACATTTAATTTTACAATTAATCATATTAACTTTTATGTACGAAATATAGAAGTTTAACACCTACATTGCTTTTTAATTAGAAACTAGTTACATGTGTATTAATCAATTTAGTATTTAACAATATATTGAAAAACATGTGATACGGTAAACGTCGCTAATTTTAAATGAAAAACAATATATTGAAAAACATATGATCATGCAAATTTTTACACAATGTTCTTATGCTCGGATGAAAGTAAGAAAAATATAAAATCTGTTGTTTGACACTTTTCACTAGGCTAAACTATTTTTTCTAAAATAAGCCTATGCAACTTGTCATTTTTGTAGAGGTTGCTATATTTATCCAAATGGCATGAAATTTCTATAGTAGACTACTGGGGTCATATATAACATACTGTAATTTTCTCTGAATTTATTGACAATTGTAAATAATTATCCTCTAAATCACCTTATTATATAAGAAAATTAATAAATGCATGTAAATAAGCTATTGAGGCTTTACCATGATGTTTTCTAGAGTGCTTGTGATACATATGGTCTGTTGGTATTAGTAGTTGTGCTTGGAATTAATTGGTTATAGGCAGCTAGTTAATTATTGCTTTATAATTTAACTAAATGGCCGCATGAGTAGTTTCTGTTGTGTTGACAAATTCATGATGATAGTGACCTTTTTGTGAAACTTGTTAATAACAAAGTTGTATATAACTTACTCATATTGCTTGTCCTCAAATATTATGGTCATAGGCCTAATGATTTAAGAGTTATAGCTGTTAGAAGTCTGCTGTCAGATTTGCTTGTCCTCTGGATAGATCTGAAAGATTGAATTCTTTGACCTAGATATCTACTGAATCACCTTAATATGATAAAAATAAAGTTGTAGAAAATTTTATAAGATTTCCATAAAGTCCAAGATTATATTGTTTGGATGTGTAAAACTCCAGTTAGGGTCAAAACAAGTGGTTGTTGTATTGCAGTCCAGATAATGTTTTAAATAGGTGTTTGTTTAATTACTAAAGAAGAGATATGCGCCTACTCAATAAAAAGAAAGTTTATCTTGTTATCACTTTAATACATTGCTATTAAGGACACTTATGAGTGCATTTTATCGTATCATATCATCCATGTCATTATCTATGTATCCATAATATCTTATTTCATGCTCATACATATAGGATCGCCCGAAGAAGTAACCCTATTGGAATTTGAAGAAGAGGCAGAGGACAATCAAGAGGCACCCCAACCCACAGCTCCTGAAGGAGAGGAGCCAGCCACTGATGAACTTCCGAGTGCCCTGACCACCGACCCACTTCTTTCCTGAAAGGCAAGCCCCGGAGCATTATAACCTTCCTATGTTTTATAAAATATCATTTGAGTTCTTTATGTTTGATGCATGAGGTTGTAAGAATTGATTTGGAAACACTTGATGCATAGAACTACCTTGTCCAGATATATATACCTTTAACTCTGTATAAGTCCAGGATCGAATAACTGCTTAGCAATGCTTAGCTCGATAGAAGTCGGGTGATTT